TTTTTCTTAGCTGAACTAAACTGGAGTGCTTTTTCACCCTCTCTATAGGTTGCTTCAGTAAAGTAACATGGTAATGATAGTAAGAGCATCAATTTAAGGAGCACTTACTATGGGCCCGACATCGTACTAAGTGCTTTATGCACATTATCTTAGGTACGAGTGTGTGCCATGACGGGGTCAGATGATTTTGTGCATCCCTCCTTCTGAAATACAATTCAGTGTTGGAATTTTTCCTCCTAATACAGGCCATTAAGCACGATTTCTTTTCTGCAACTCATCTTTCTCCTGTCAAATTGGGATCCAAGCACTTGAGCTCCTCCCCCTTCCCTGTGTTGCTCCTCCCCTTCCATGCGGAGCCGACTCCTCCACCTTTTCCTTTTCATCCTTAGGATCTTCTTACCTGCAGATACACCTTCTCTCCTGCATCTTCTCCCCCCCCAAATATTTATTTATTTATTTTAGAGAGAGAGAGAGAGAGAGAGAAAGTGCACAAGTGGGAGGGGTAGAGGGAGAGGGAGAGAGAATCTCAAGCAGACACCACAGTGATTAGAGCCTGAGTCAGGGTCGATCTCACAACCCTGAGATCAGGACCTGAGCCAAAGCCAAGAGTGGGACATTTAACCCACCATGCCACCCAGGTGCCCATCTCCTATATCTTTACATAGCTGCCATCTAGTTATCTTAGATACACTCATTATTTTGGTCTTGGGGGGATTTCCTTTCCTTTCTTAGGAGCTTAGCTATTTAAATTTGCTGATCTTATCCATCATTGGTAGGCTTTTTTTTTTTTTTTTTTGGTGGGAGCAGGGGGGATGGTCGAGGACGGTAGGAGTTGCCAGGTTATGAGAAATGCAGTTTCTTACTTAATGAGATAAGTTGGTGAATAATCCATTTCACTGTGGTCCACTGGAGCCGTGTTATTCTCTCTCTGTTCATTTTCCACCACTCCCAAAAGACTTGGCAACTCCTCTTGGGAACATGGGGGCAGTCTTTGGAAACGGATCCCTTTGTAAGATTTTGGGAGACTTCGCAACTTGAGTCTGTTGACGAGCTGGAGTCGTTGGATTCACCTTCTACAGCAAGATTGTTTCTCTTGATGGGCCGAGGATGGCATCCAGGCTTCCCTACTCCCTTGACACCCCCCCACCACCCGCCCCTCCCTAAACACACGCTTTCAGTTGGGTCCTTGGCCTTGGTCCTCAGTTTGAGTCTGCACCCATTTAATTTTTACTTTGTACAACTCCCCTGACTCAAGCAGTTTCTCTTTTTGGCGAGAGACCCATCAGCATGCCGAGATTCCACCTTGTAGAATCAGCGTTGGATCTACTCTGCCTGCAAATCTCTGATTACTGTCCAATTAAATTAGATGCCTCCCTTTGCTGATCATTGACTGCCTTTCCCTTAATTTCCCGCTCAGTGTTTCCCATTTCAGTTGTTAGAGATGACGCTGATGTAATCAAGAACGGCATTCCGTTTTCAGTATTACTAAGGCAGAGGTGATAAGTGTCGGGGGTGAAGTAAAAAGCCTGGGGCTGGGGTGGTGCGTGGAAATGGAGGGGGTGGTTAATGGGGTGACTTGGGGGGCTCAGGGTCTTCACCTGGGGGGGTTCTCAGAACCAGCAGAACGTGGGAACCCAGGTACCCAATGACAGGGGAGCACATCTGGTGTGCTAGTTTCCTGGGGCTACGTGACAGAGCCCTGCGCACTTGGTGGCTTAAAGCAACAGGAATGTATTCTCTCGCAGTTCTGGAGGCCAGAAGTCCAAAGTCAATGTCATTGGCCCAAACTCAAGGTGTTGCCAGGGACGTGCTCCCTCCGATGGTTCTGGTAGCTGTGGGATGCCCTGGCTTGTGGGCCGCCGTCTCTCTCCTCCTTCCCACAGCCTGCTCCTCTGGGTATTTGTGCGAAATCTCCCCCGGCCTCTATTTCATAAAGACGCTCGAGCTGACATTCAGGGCCCACGTGGAGGGTCCCGGTTAATCTCATCTCAAAGTCCTTCGCTAGGCCCCATTCACACGTTCCAGGGAGTAGGACTGAAAGTCCTTGGGTGGCCGTTATATAACCTACGACAGACAATTGAAGAGCTAAATAAATTATCCTAATAATTATTGTGTGCCCTGTTGAAAAAGGCAGATCGTATTCCTGCCGGGCTTTCAGACTATTATTTGTTCATAGGACTTTTAAGAATTTCATTGCCGGAGGGTGTATTTTTAAAACATTGCAACACAGACTCAAGCAGATACAGAATCTAATTGTACTTTTCAGCATCCCTCTTTCTCTCCACCCTCACGAGACAATGGATATATACATATGGGTATGTGCACGCATGTTTATGCACGTGCACACCCATATGTGTGTATATGTGGGTGTAGAGGTCTGTGTATGTCTATGCATGTGCATGTGTGTATATATATATTTTTGGTGGGGGGAGGGTCACAAATGAGTACAGTTTTTAAAGCTTTTAGTCTAGCATTTCCTGACCTTGTCAGGGCCAAACTACAGCCAGAGCATAACTTTAACTTCTGTGGGGGGACAACCACAGCCTCAGGCTGACTTGGGCTACAGCAGACCCCCAGCTTGTCTGGTCCGTTGGCTGATTGTCCCCTCTTAGTCATATCTTTGGATTGAGGACCTGAAAATCCCCCATTAAAATGGGTGAAGGGGTTCAAAAGGCACAAACTTCCAGTTATAAGATAAATAAGTGCTAGTAACACACAGCATGATGACTATAGTTAACAATACCGTCTTGTATATTTGAAAGTTGCTGAGGCAGAACATCTTAAAAGTTCCTGTCACACACACACACACACACACACACACACGCAAGTTCTAACTATGTGTAGTGATGGATGTTAACTCAATGTATTGTGGTAATCCATTTGGAGGATCTACACCATCTCAAATCAGTATGTTGTCTACCTAAAACTACTGTACTGTTATATGTCAATTTAAAAATTAAAAAAAAATAAGTGAGACTCTGCTCTCCAGAAGAGATAGTAAATTAAGCTATTCACAGCTGTTTTTGCATCAATGGTTAAAAATAAAAAGGTTCAATGATTCGCTCGGGTGGTAACCTGTTGGTCCCTTACTGTTTATGCAGAGCTGCGCGTGATGAAGAGGAGAGTGGTCCCTGCTTCAAGGGCTGAGTGCTCAGGGGGACCGTGGCTGATGGCTGTGGTGGGCCCTAGGGAAAAGGAGAGAAAGCACCCTCTGGGAGGGAGGTGGGACTTGAGTTGGCGGCTTCAGGACTGGGGTGTTCGGATGGGTTGGGGGTGGGGGCACGAGCACAAGCTTGGACGGTAACCCAGTGTGTATTCAGGAGAGAGAGGAGAGAGGAGACCAGCTCCCAGGGCAGCTGGGGTTGGCCTGGTTGGAGGAGCCTGGGAGGAGTGCTGGGCCAGGGAGTGTGGACCTTGCCTTGTCGACAGCGGTGAGTCCCAAAGAGCTTTAAGCGAGAAATCAGAGTTCCAGACCCAGTGATTTCGAGGCAGAGCATAAAGTGACTTCAAGGGCAGCCAAGACAAGCACTAGGGAGAAGGGGTAGGGCATCGATGTCGTAGTCCAGGCTAGTGGTGGCCAGACTTAATTATTATTATTATTAAGGATTTTATTTATTTATTTGAAAGAGAGCGAGAGAGAGAGCGAGAGAGCATGAGCAGGGGTGGGGGTAGAGGGAGAAGCAGACTCCCCACTGAGCAGGGAGTCTGACGCAGGGCTCGATCCCAGGACCCTGAAATCATGACCTGAGCCAAAGGCAGACACTTAACTGACTGAACCACCCAGGCGCCCCCAAGACTGAATTCATTTTTTAATCACAAACCTATGTCAGGAAAATAATGTGTGAACTCCTCACTGCAAATATTGTCTATCAGTCATCTACCAATCATTTATTTTTTGATCTATATCATAACTCTGTACTAATATGTTGAGTATATTATGAAAGTTATAAAATATAATCACACAAAAAGGAAATAAATAGAGGTGGAAGAACCACTCTTTGGGTTCCACACCCTGTGGCTCAGTAGCCTTCCACGAATACGTCTCTTGGGTTGTTCGAGTCCCAGGGATGGTGCGTCTGGGTGCTGGAGGCATAGTCCTAAATAAACCGGATTGGCGGCGTGGGAACAGAGAGGAAGGAAAGGTGAGGAGGCATCAGCAGAAGGAATCGACATGATGTCAGCGGCTGGTCCCATAGCAAGAGGAGCGAAGTCGTAAAGGGCAAAAACAGTGGTGTGTTTTAGGGCCTGGTGAGCAGGGAGGTGAATGCCACCAAAGGGAAGGGGTGCAGACCTGGCTGGAAAAGACAAAATCCCCCTCCTCCCTCTTTCCCTGCCTTTGTGCGAAGCTGGAGGGTCTGTGCATGTGACATGTTGATTGTGAGGGCAGTGACCCAGGAGGGGTGTTCTGTGGGTAGCTGGGATACAGCCCTGGAGCAGCAACCACCAGGATCCTGATGTAGAGCCAAGAGCTAACTTGCACTATAACTCACCAAGGGGAAGAGGAGAATGCTGGAGGCTAGACTAGGGCCTGGTGCAGGGCAGGGAAAGGGCGGGAGAAAGGAGAGGGCATGGCATCCCCCAGGTCCCGAGCCACACCCTAGAACTGAAGATGGGGACAGATTTAGCTCTTTCAGAAATGGAGGCCCTGGGGATCCCAGCCCCTGGATGGATAATGGCTCAGCCTGAGAGGGAGCCAGGAGAGGCCCTTGGCTGGAGTAGAACTTGGCTTTTCAGGCTGTGGAAAACCAAGTTCAACACTGACTCTTCACCGCGCCTTCCAGATGACCATTCAAGTTTGCCTAATTTTACTCTCTTCCTTAATAATTGGATCTGGTTCCTGATGTTACACTTTTCCTTTTTCCCCCTGATGCTTATTTTATAAGGGTTTTCTCCTGGTACAGAGAAGTAGCTATGTACTTTCCTAGGGTTTTTGTGAATGATGAGGGAATAACCTTTGCTTGTGATGTCTGACAACAGCCATGTTCTCGGTGTTTCCTCAGGTGGCCATAAAAGTCATTGACAAGAAGAGAGCCAAAAAGGACACTTATGTCACCAAGAACCTTCGGCGAGAGGGGCAGATTCAGCAGATGATCCGCCACCCCAACATCACCCAGCTCCTTGATATCTTAGAGACGGAGAATAGCTATTACCTGGTCATGGAGCTATGTCCTGGGGGCAACCTGATGCACAAGATCTATGAGAAGAAGCGGCTGGAGGAGTCTGAAGCCCGCAGATACATCAGGCAGCTCATCTCTGCCGTGGAGCACCTGCACCGGGCTGGGGTGGTCCACAGGTAAGGACCCTGCCCTGCTGCTGATCACCGACTCTGTGCTGAATGGCCGGACAGTGCTTCCGTGTGCTCTACGCAAGGCTGAATGGTTGCAGCGTGCTTTACAGTTCTTCTGCATGTGTCATGGAATTATTTTGTGAGCTGGGTTAATGCCATCGTGGGGTTAAGAGAGTGACATCAGAAGCCAGAGTGCCTGGGTTTGCATACTGGCTCTACCCTTTCATAGTTGTGTGACCCTGGGCAAGTGACTTAGCCACTCTGAACCTCAATCTCTTCTTTTGTAAAATGAGAATAATAACGATACTTGTCTTGTGGTTGGTGTAAGGGTTAATAGATAGAATGCTATGAGTGAATATGTGAAAAGTGCTTGGAACCGGGCTTGGTACATAATATGGGCCATGTTAAGTGTTGGCTGCTCTTCTTTATTTGCATAGTATAATGAGACCAGCTGCTCAGGAGCCTGAAAGAAGAATCAATGTTAAGATGGCATGAGATTGTTTTTCAGCTAGTGCTAGGGATGGTGTTTTCACTGTATTTGCCTTATATGTGGTGGTTGTTCGATAGCTGTTTTATTCATCTGAATTGAATCACCATTTAAATTGTGAACTTGCTCTTGCAAGGGAGGAGTGGTTCCCATAAGCCAGACCCACCTTGCAAATGCTTATGAAAATCAAACAAAACTTTGATTGACCAGTCTGTTCCCTCCTGAGGAGGAGCCCCACAAGGAGAAGGGAATGGGAATAGCATTTTTAGCAATGTTGTCATTTTTAGTTCTGTATTAAAAGAAAATGGAAAAAAAAAGAGAAAAATATATAAAAGTGGCCTTTTTTTCCTCCCAAGGAAATGTGAACTTCACCAATAAATGCATAGTTCTTCCTTCTTGAAATTATGATTAGTAATCACTCTAGGTTGTTGAGAAAAATTAGGGGTCATGTTTCATTGATTATCATTTTAAAAAGCAAGATCAAGTCATGAAATGTGTTATGTGCATGTGTGGGGGTATATATATGTGTATATACACACGCATGAGTATGTTTGACATTTTTTTGTATTGAGGTACAATTCACATACCATGAAATTCATTTTAAAGTGTACGATTCAGCTGTTTTAACATATTGACAGAGTTGTGCAACTCTTACCACTATCTAATTTTGGAATATTTTCATCACTCCAAAAAAGAAGCGCTGTACCCATCAACAGTCATTCTCCATTCCCCCCCCTCCTCCCAGTGCCTGGCAACTGCTAATCTGCTTTCTGTCTGTGGATTTGCCTGTTCTAGACATTTTGTATAAAAGGAAACAAACAGTATGCGGTCTTTTAGGATTGACTTCTTTTTACGTAGCATCATGTTTTCAAGATTCATCCCCAGTGTGCCATCTATCAGTATGTCACTCCTTTTTATGGCTGAGTACTAGTCCGTTGCAGGGAGAGACCACATTTTGTTTACCCATTCATCAGTTTATGGACATTTGGGCTGTTTACAACCTTTTGGCTACTGTGAACAACGCTGCTATGAACCTTCGTATAGAGGTTATAGCATGAACATGTGTTTTCACTTCTTTTGTAGCATTCTACCTTTAGGAGCGGAACTGCTAGGTCATATGGCAACTCTGTGTTTGACCTTTGGACCAGACACATATTTTTAAAAATTCAGCTTCTCATGGTGTGTGTTACGTGTCTGAAAGCCACTCAGATTGTGATCAGTGAAGAAAGCAGCTCTAGGCCTTTCATTAACAGAACTTGTACTCATGGGATTGGATGCCCTGCCCCCTTGTGCATAAGCCTAGGGCCACCGTCGGGGTGGTTCCCTGGCTCAGTCCCTGCAGGTGGATCGTTTCCTCACTGAGGTGAGAGAATCTCTTCGTGTCGTCATGAAATCTCGGTTCATTAGAACTCTTTGAGTTTATATCAGCAAGGAAGGGAACATTCAGAAATTTGAGGTGAATAGCACTATTTTTGGCTCTTTCCCATAATACCCTTGTGAAGCCTGTTGTGTCACGGCTCTGCCACGCTTAGGAGAACAACGGTGGTGAGTGTGCCTGGTTCTATCTTTGTTTATGGCCATGACAAAGGCAGAAAGCTCAGGAATGAATCAGCCGGGATAACGGACTCTGCTGGTCCCAGCGGACCCTGGACGAGCAAGGGAAAACCAGAGAGGGCTGTGCGTGGTTCCCTGGCCTCTCCCACAGGAAACTCTCAACAACGCTTTTAAAGTAATTTTAACAAATTCCAATCGCTCTCAGCGCAATTACTGTCAGAATGTCAAAGGAATGAATTTAATAATGTTTTGATAGCAAAGACGGTGCGCTCTTCTTCCTCTGATCACTGGCATTCTACTTCTTCCTCTCTCCTTGGAAAGAGATTCGTCAGCCCGGAATGGCAGAGGCTCAGATCTTTTAAAGTTAGGGAAGATGGGAAACCTGGAGGAGTTCTTCATGTTTCTGTCTAGCAATCACGTTAATGAATGCCAGTGCGCGGGACGTCAGGGGTTAGGTGGGGGAGAACGTCCCAGGAGGATGTTTGTTAGGAAGAGACTCATGGGTGACTTTAGCTGAATGACTTGTCTTTTTCCCAGATTCTATACCGCCAATTTATAGCATACTTGACCCAGCTTACCGCTGGAATACTCTTCACTGTAGCCCCTCTCCATGGTGGAAATTTTTCTCCTATATGCTGCAGAGATGGAATGGACTTTCATAATTATTTTGAAGTTAGATTTTGAAAATGAATAAGAGAGTATAGTATTTCAGAGGTGGCCTGGAGCCACTCGTTGGGAAGATTTCTAAGCAAATAGATTGGATCATCCAAAAGGATTTGGGGTGAGTTTTGGTGGCTGTGTATATACGATGATTTAAAGGGCTTTTGGTTATGTGTGTCAGAGGATGCTCTAAATGCGAAGTTCCTGATTAGGCTGATACTATATCCTTGTGTTCTCATCGGCTTAATGCTTGGCAAAGCCTTCATTTCCTGTGACACGAAATCTAAATATTTAATTATCTACTCAGAACTACTGAAATATCATTTAAAGGAAGCAAATCTCGAAAAATCATGTAAATATTGTAAGTGGAAAGAGAAAAAGGAAACCAAAAGCTCTATCTAGCAGATTCCCTGAGCTGGCAGAGAAATTCATCTTAAACAGGACCTGCCAGGACCTTTGTGTCTTTTGCTCTAAGAGGGCTGTGGCTAGCTTTTACGAAAGTAGAGTATGGTCTCATTTCTTCATTACCCCGTGTTAGGATTGCCCGAGATACTCCACGTTTAAGATACGAGTTTTTTTTTTCTTTCTTCTTTCTCTCAAACGTGCTCATCCAGCACAATGCCAAAACCTGATGATTTGCCTGTTGTCAATGGAGCGTTGACTCTTAACATCGATCAGTGAAAAGTGTGATTATACCGAGAGGCTAATTTGAGATTCATCTGTTCATTCAAAGTAACAAAGTCCAATCAAACTGTACAGACAAAACATCACAGGGTAACACAATACTGCCCTCCCTAAGCAGGAAGAGACAAGCCTTGGGGCCCTGCGGGACCAGGACGGAGAGACACATGATCAAAGGGAGTGCGAGCCTGTATTTGGACAGACGTCCACGCCACCGCTCCCAGGGCCATGACCTTACTTATTTATCAATATTGGGAAAGGGCCTTCTGTGCTCAAGAGGAATGCAGTGGACGAGAAGGGGCTCTTCTTTGTTCTCTTGGGCCTGACAAGAAGCATTGGTAGGGTCTTAAGTTCTTTTAACTCTTAGGTTTTCTTGGAGAGGGGAGGGAGGAGAAGGCGGATGAGAAGGGGGTAACTTCTGCTCACATCCAGGAACTGTTTGCGATCCCAGGGCCTTCTGCTGAGAAAGAGCACCTATTTGGAGGCGCCGGTGATATATATCAAAGGTTTTGTGTTTCAGCTGGATTTAGAAAATACGATTGGAAATAAGAGATTTCACAAAGCTCTAACGTAGCAGCTTTGTGGAGTGGGTATCCAGCGGTCAGCGGTGTTGATTCTGAAGCTAGACCGCCCGCACATGCTGGTTCTGCCACTTAAAAGCTGCATCAGGCAAATCACTCAGGCTTTCGTGCCTCCCTACACAATAGGAATAATGGATAATCCACTTCATGCGGTTGTTGTGAAGATTGAATGAGTCAATTTGTGTAAAGTGTCAAAACTGAGACAGTAAGTACTGAGCGCGTGTTTGCTCTCATTAGTTCTGAGCCCACCTCATTCATTCTGTGCCTGGGAAACTGAAGCTCAGTGGTCTGTGTGCTCAAGGCCTCACGGATGTCCTGGGCTTACACTCATCCCGCTCATCCTTCAGGTCTGGCTCTAAGCTCACCTCCTCCAGGCGGCTCTCCAGGCTAGGCCCCCCTGGTCATAGACTCACACTGCATTTCTGCTTTGCTTTCCAAACACTTTTCGAACGATAACTGACTTTGTTTGATATCCGTTTTCTGCACAGGCCGCAAGCGAGCTCAGCATTGAGCCTGGTAGGCACACAGCAAGACTGTTGAATGCATGAAGGGGAAGTTGAATGAGCACAGCTAGTGTCAGGGTTGGCCCTCGGATGGAAGCATTCTGGTAGCCAGCTCCGTGTTCGTTCTGGTATATTCCATTCTGTCCCTGGAATTTCAAGGGAGTTTCCTCATTGACTTAGTACCAGTTTGTTTATTTTTCAGGTCACAGTCTGTAGAGTGGCATCTTTTTAGTGACTGAACAGCTCTTTCATTTTATAAACAGTTCATTTCTGGAGCACTGTAGGAACTCAATAAAAGGTTTCATTTGGAATATATGAATCAGGTACATACTTAACAAATTAGTCTTATGTTTTATCAAAATGCCCATATTGTAAGTAAATCAGTGATTAAAAAATCATTTACTTTTCACACAGTGCTTTTGGAGATAAACCTAACCCAAAAAAACGCTCTTGTTTCCTGCAAAATGCTGATGGCCTTGGGGAGTTATGTGCTTTTCTTGGATGCTTTATTCTTAGCTTATTGCTAAAATCCATCTCCAC